TTTTTTATGGCTGTAATATGAACGTAATATGATACAAAATGAGAATCATTCTAGCTTTCTATCATGAAAGGTATTTTAACAAAAAAACTAAAACTCATATTATGAAAGGTATTAAAAGCTTATAACATCTTTATGAACTTTTAATTATTGATCCTATGATTTTGTTTAATAATTTTTGTGACTCTATATTTCAATCATTAATCCTCTTATTAATATAAGATTAATACCATTTTTTTGCATGATTATTTCATTGAATTTTCATGCATTTATATTCAAAACGAATATACCTGTGTATGAAATTTATAGTTACATTCATAACAACATAGCATTTGTTAAATTTATATTCATCTATTTAAATAAAAAAGTGAAAATTCTTATCATTTATAATAAGCATCTATAATAGATATATCTTCAACATTATCATAGATTCTCTCGCCATCTCGCCCATGTAAATAAACAAAATCATACATAAAATCAATATAAATAGTCAATCAAATTTATTTTTAGAATATACGGAGTAATAAATTACACTCGATACATAAAGTTAATTAACTTATTAAGCATAATATTAATAAATTAGAAGATATAAGATTTATTATTGAGAACAACTTGACTGCCTAATTTAATGGAAGAACCTGTTTCGAGATATTTGGGTGTAAGTTTTATAGGAAAATTATGATATTATGAAGAACGAAATATTTTTTATACATCATTAATTTGTGCTTAATAACTTTCATATAAAAACTTTGTCTATTTCACTTTTTATAATAACATAATGAATTAAGAATAATAAAATTCGTTAAATTCGTTAAAAAACTAAATAAAAATATAAACGAACAATCTATTTGAGGCAGCGAAATCAATACTAAGTACAAAGGGTCATGAGGTGAACGACCTGTACTAAAATATATATCTGCGTTTTGTTTTAATATATACGAGTATATATATATATATATATATATATATATATATATTTGTATTTGTATTTATAGTTGTGTTCGGGTGCGTGTACTTGTACAAATACACTATTTCGAATATGAAATATTTGCAGAGATGTGTTTGAGAGTTTATGTAATAGTTCAATGAACCAGAAGCATAAAGCGATATTGATAATTCTTTTCGCAAATTCAACAATAAGTTTCTGACCACAAATTTCGCAAGTAGATTTGTTTATATACTTATGAGTAGCAAAAAGTAAATTCGGGAAAAAACCAGTAAGTAAAGATCATATTAAGATAAATAAAATACGCAAATAATCGAACGGTGATATATATATATATATATATATATATATATATACCTTGTAGTATGAGTATTACAAAAGCTTCGCATTAGCATAACTTGCAACATTTTTAAACAAGAAAAGCAAATATTAAGCAAATCGCAATAAATACTTTAGCAATAATTATAATAAAATTAGGACATTTATATATTGCAATATCTCTAAAATATAAACGTTTTGGTATATTTAAAATCATACAAATATTATATAAATTTATGTTAAATTTCTTTCTCAATAAAAAGTTTACATTTTTATGACAAAAATAAAGTTAGTCAATCAAAGAAGTATATGCACTTCTCCTTATCTATGTTTAAGTATAAGCAAATATTTCAATTTAATAATCAATATTAGAATATTTAATAATAATATCAACGATAGCTATATAATTTATTAGCTCATTGTTAGTCAAAACAAAATGAAATTTGAATATGTAAAAATATTAAATTAGATACAAGTTATAAAAATGCAAATCTATTTTATGATAACTATTAATGAAATAGTGAAAACAATATATGTTGATCAAAACTTGTCTAATTTGCAGTAACTTATATTTTGTTATGATCGTATTTAAAACAACAATATATATATAGTATATATATATATATATATATATATATATATTATGTGAGATGAAAGCTACTTTCTATGTAGCTTCCATATTGTAGAGAAAGTAAATTTGAGATTGAAATGTCGAGCTTTCTTTTCTCATGCAATATGAATACATACTGTAACAATTTATATATCCATATATATATATATATATATATATATATATATATATATATATATATGCATCTGAATATTTAGGTATGCTATCTAATTTTACTGATGGATTTTATATTCCAAATTTTAAAATTTTAATTACAACTGAATCATTAATCTCCATTATCAATTCAAAAATATAAATCAAATTAAATAAAAAAATGTAACCTATGTCCAAATAGATGTGTGTGCATATGTCACATACGACCGATCATTTTCAACCATGTGCAGTAGTATGTTATGTTCATATATATGTGCACAGCAAATATGGGCACCATGTGTCTATGTAATTTTAGAGTGCACACACGCTTTCGTGGTGTCGCAAACACAGCTCAAATATAGAACAAGATTGCGGTAGGTCATTGTACTACAAGCATTCGTACGCATTTATGCGTGTAGACATAAAATTATAAATAAATAGCTATAAGCAACGACACTGCCGAAATATTTTTAGATTAATAGATTGACATGCGATCAGCAAAATATGTAACAGGAATAATAAAACTGCAATATATGGCATTGTACTGGTACGATTGAGCAAAAGAAAAGGAAACTGGATAGGAGCCATCCAGAGTAAAAAGTATATCAGCGCAAATATAAGTATCATCGAAAGATAAATAGGATTGAAGAAAAAGAATGCACAAGATGGTCTTATGCAAGAAGAGAAAATTTAGAGATTTGATAACTGATGTCCAAAGAAGTAGGGACTTGAGAAGTAAAAAGTGAATACACAAATATAAGAAGTTGAGAAGGGGGTAAATGAATATATGGCAATTGGCCTAAAAGCAGATTTTGTGTGTGGAGTAATTTTCTATCATTGAAATTAAAATTTAGGTTTTTTATATAAGTATAATTCAAACTTAGCAATTCCAACTTTGCATTTTGTAGATAAATTCCAACAAAATGTATGGATCTAACTATATGTACCTAAAATTATTTAATTTTAAAAACTTTTATTGAATTTGATATTTTTCCTAAATTTACATTTTATAACACTTATAATTTGGTGTATCAATTATTCTTTTTACCAAATACTATTTCCCGAACCGTTTATATTCGTATTTGTGCGCGTAAAATTGCAAAGAGCGCATTGACTTCGCATGTGACGTCATAACTATGCACTATGCAAACACATACTGGTGGCTTTTGGTTATAAATGTGTACATGTTTGCACGTATTTCGTACTCATACATATATGCAACGTACATGATCGTTCGCCAGAGAACATAGAATGTTGACCCAGTTGTAAAGTGCATTGCACTCGCTGCACACAAGGAGGAACAAATA